CGTGGAGCAGCCCCACAGCCCAGCCCGTCGTGTCGGACGGGGAGAGAAACCATTCAGGTACGGCTCTGCACCTCCGTTTCCTCCTCCACGTCCCCAAGGCAGGGGACAATCCCCATCTCCCCGTCCCCAGCCCTCCCGTACCTCTTTCTTCACTGCTTTTGACTCTCCGTCCGCATCGCCCAGGGCGGGCGCAGAGGCTTTCTCACTGGGGAGCTCCGTTTTGGCCTTGGCTTCACCGCCTTCGCTCATCTTGAAGGAGGAGGTGCTGTCGTTGTCCTGGAAGCCGTCGGACATGCTGTTGGAGCTCAGCCACGAGGCCACTTTGTTCTTGGAGGTCTCCTCCGACACCGGCAGCTTGCAGGAGGCAGCCGCGCTGATTTGCCGGGTGAGCCCCGAGTCCTTGGAGGCCGTCTCCGACTGCCCGTTCTCCTTCTGGCCGCGGGTCTGCCGGCGCGTGGCGTAGCTGCGCCACACCGAGCTGGTGCCGAAGTCCTCGTCCTTGCCGAAGTTGTCGTCAGAGCTGTCCTCGTTGGACTCCTCCTGCTCCTCAGTGCCCGTGTTTTCCTCCTCCTCATCCTTCAGGTCCACGCCGCTGCTGTCGGAAGAAAAAAAGCTCTCGTAGCCCTCCTTGAAGTTCTCCACGCTCTCGATGTGATCCAGGTTTGCAAAATACTCGTCGCCCATCTCTAACCCCTCTTTGTCGGCAAAGTCATCCGTGAGGATCTTCCCTGGGGGTGGGGAAGAGAAAATTATAAAATAAAGGCATGCAGAGACCGGACGAGGGGTAAGGGATCTGAACTGGAAGAGGGGAGATTGAGATGAGATCTGGGGAAGAAATGTTTTCCTGTGCGGGCGGTGAGGCAGTGGCCCAGGTTGCCCAGAGAAGCTGTGGATGCCCCATCCCTGGAGGGGTTCAAGGCCAGGCTGGATGAGGCTTTGGGCAACCTGGGCTAGTGGGAGGTGGCCCTGCCCATGGCAGGGGGTGGCACTGGGTGGGCTTTAAGGTCCCTTCCCACCCAAACCCTTCTGGGATTCTAAAAGCAAGTGTGAGTTTTCCAGGGAGGACATTCCCGCCCCGTGAATTTTATTCTTCCCAGAGGCGCCCCGAGGAGCAAACAGCCCTGGCACCTCCTCATTCCTGAGCCGGGCTGGGAAAGGACAACGGATCAGCCTCGATATTCGAGTCAATGAAAACCCAAAGCACGTGGCTGATCTGAAGTGGGCCCTTGCTAACATCCAGGCTTCCAAGAAGAAAATCTCGACCCAGAGGCTGCCTTCTCCTCCGCAGGGCTGGGGGCGAGGGCGCAGCACAGAGGCAACGCTAAGGGCCCGCGGTTAGTTTCCTTCCAGAGTTAACGCAACCACGCTGCGCAACTTCTGCATTTGATGGGTTTGTGCCGATGGCCCGGCGACGGGTTGGGGGTAAACAGGAAGGAGGTACGTGTCGAACCACCCTCAGCGCACAGAAACAGCGCCGAGCGCTTCTCTCAGCGCCGGCACCGCAGCCACGCGCATCTCGGCAGCGTCTGGGTTCAGAGCTGGGCAAGGGAGGGGCGTCGCTCAGGAAATCAGAGTGCTGCAAGTTCATCAGCAGAGTTTTAATTTTTGCGTCCCCTGAGCGAGCACAGGAAGAGCTTCGCACGCCTTCGGCTGGGTTCGGCATTTGGCGATAACCGAAGCCGAGATCTCAGGCCTGACACAAGCTCGACACAACCAGATCTTATCAGATACTCATCCTCCCCCTCTTTAATCAAAACAGAGCGGATTCACCCCGGAACACACGCAATCACCAGCTAAACAAAAGCTCCCGTTTCAAAACGAAGAGGTTTCCAGCCGCTTGTTCGTCAGGGCGAGATCCTACCTGCGTAGATACAGACGAAAGAGCCTTTGGCAATATCGTCGAGGCAGCGGATGCCCCAGCCTTTGTTCTGCGTCTTGAACAACTGCAGCCGGACCTGGAGCCCGTGCTGGACCAGGCGGTTGGTGCACATGTTGACGTTGCACTTGCACCTCTTGTTACACTCATAAACTCTGAAAGAAAGGAAAACAGTCACATCTTCCCTGATCAAACAACGTCCCAAGAACCTGGCGTTGTACCGGTAACGACACTGAGAGCTCAGCGGAGCAGGGAGAGCGCAGTTTCCAGGTTTCTACAGAGATCCTGCACCGCACGTTAGCAGATGAAGCAGGAACAGAGGCAGGTTTTCAGTGTCTGCACTTAGCTCTGGGAAATGCCGCCTCTCTGAGAGCATCAGAGGCCGAGTGTTCGGGAGGGAAGGAGAAGA